CCACAACAAGCTGTTGTTCCCAGGTAATATGGATGAAGACTCAAGTCAAGGATTATGACATTGATTTTGATAAAATTGCAATTCTGTGTAACTCTGAAAGCGCGATAGCCAAGGAATGATGTTCGATACCATTTCATCAAGGAGCATGTAGAGAAATCTACAATCATAATGTTCTTTGTTCATATAGATCACCAACTTGCAGACATATTCACTAAGGCTCTCGATGAAAAAGAGATTTAGTTTCTTGGTCAGTAAGTTGGGTATGCTCAATCTTCAAAAAAAAGTCAGAGCCTCTGTACGTACTATACAGAGTTTCTTCACACATATTGAGCATATATCTGTTTATTTAGTTATGTCCTTGAGCCAGAACTTCTACATGCATTATGAAGAGCTTCTTACTCACCATATCAAATTCAAGACTATACAGCCTCTGCATGTACTGTGTAGAGTCTCTTGATCGAGTCTAACAAATTGTTAAGTTTGTTATATAGAGTCTCTGTATCTACTATACAGAGCCTCTGTATCTACTATACAGAGCCTCTGTATCTTAATCTATATCTTGTACACTTCTTATAATTTTTGATCCAAGCATAGTTCAAGGGGGAGAGTCACAGACAACCCAACTCAAGGGGGAGCCTCCGATCTCCAAAGATACAGATCCTTTGCATGTACTATACAAAGCTTCTGCCTCACCAAATTTTCATTTGGAAGCAAAAACTTTTCATAGTCCAACCATGAGCATCTGTATTTACTCCAAAGGTATGTAATATATCTTTCAAAACATACTCTGGTCTCATCTTTCCTTATTTTCTTGAAATCAACTAAGTCTCGTGTATAGAGCCTCTGTATGTATTATACAATGCTTATGTCTCAAGAAACTCGAATTCATGAATCTTGCACTCTTGAGAACTAAAACTTCAGATACAGAGCTTCCGTATGTACTATACAGAGCTTATGTCCCTATAATCTTGACTTTTCAATCTCTTGATGTATTTGAAATCCTATCTTTAGGACACAGAGCTTTTGTATGTACTATAAAGAGACTCTGTCCCAAGAAAATTAGCATCTCACTAAAATGCATGTCTTGTCGAAAAATCAAGCTTCCTATACAGAACTGCTACATGTACTATGAAGACCTTCTGTCTCGAGAAATAAGGTGTTTCATCTTCTTTGGCTGAGAGTATGTGTTTTTCTTTTTCTTTCTCTAAGTGTTATGTTCAATACAAAGATATTTTCACTCTTTTCAAACACTCTGGTTGAAAAACACTTGTCATTTTTTTAAAAAGAATGCGTATTTAAAATACTTACTATATTGAGCAGTCATATTCGACAGGTCACCACTTGTATCTCTAATTTTTCAAATAAGGGAGGCAGGACGTGCAGCCTGTCAAGCCACATGACTTTACCCCACAGGTTCTGCCAGAAAACCCTCCAGTGACAACGCTTGGGGCAGATAATCACTCGAGTAACCTAAAGTAAATCCCTTATTTAAAGGAGTGATTATCCCCAATTCAAATTTTTTTACGCTTTAAAATACTCTAATTTCTCTCAAAGAACCCTTTCAAAGAATTGTCAAGAACTTCATTGAAGAACCCCCAACTCTAGTACTTTGAAAATCACCCAAGTTCTATAAAAATTTCAAGATTCCAAGTAAGTTCTTCGCAAACCACCAGTTCTGTAACACCCCCAATCCTTACATTGCATATAACACATATTTTATATAGAGAATACATGTTTTCCCCCACATAGGTCCTTGATACAAGAGTCTATAATGTGAAATACGCAACCCAAAAATTCCGAAAGTACAGGCTCTTGCATCCTAGCATCTATGCTTCCAAAATAGCTAAGCACATAGGGAAGTAATTCACCTAATGCTCTTTCCCTTATTATCATTACCTGCACACATATTTTTGAAAACACG